AATTTCAAAGGGCAGCTCAACAAAGTAAAATATAATGAAATGTGCAAAGACTTAGTTAGAAAACCACAAAGGAAGAATAAAATCAGATTATCTCAAACTGAAAGAACTCAAGAAAAAACCCAAGCCTTGAGTTGTAGTATTGAAGGATTCTAAGAGGGAAGGTACTGAATGATGCAAGAAATATCCAAAGAAGATAGAAAAAGTACACAGAGTCACTGTACCCCGCCCCCCCCCAAACTAGTCAACATTAAACTATTTCAAGAGGTAGCACGGTATCAAGAACAAGTGGTATGTGAGGAAAAATCCTAGCTTCACTGAAAGCATTAGCCAAACACAAGACTCCAGCAATTAATGGCATACCAATTGAACAAGTTTCAACAAGCTGATGAAGCACTGGATTCACTCACTGGTGAATGTCAAGAAATTTGGAGGACAGCTATTTGGCTAACTGATAGAAGTGACCCACATTTATATCCATTCCAAAGAAAGGTGACCCAGCAGAATGGACAAATTATAGGACAGTATCATTGATATCACATGCAAGTAAAATTTTGCTGAAGATAATCTAGCAGCAGAAATTGACAGAGATGCCAAAGGATCAGTCCAGATTCAAACGAGGACTTGGAACAAGAGACATCATTGTTGACATCAGCTGGATCTTGGCTGAATACCAAAAAGATGGCTCGCTTTGTTTCACTGACTTTGGAAAGGCATTAGATTGTGTGAATCATAACTATAGATAGCCTTAAAAATAATGGGAATACCAGAACACTTCATTGTGCACACGAGGAACCTGTACATGGCACAAGAGGCAGTTGTGCAAACAGAATAATGAAATACTGCATGAATTAAAATCAGGAAAGATGTTCATCGGGGTTTTATCTTCTCACCATACTTATTAAATTTGTATGCTGAGTGACTAATCAGAGAAGCTGTATTATTTGAAGAAGAATGTGGTATCCAGATTGAAGGAAGTCTTAATAACAACCTGGAGATGCCACAACCTTGCTTGCTGAAAGGGAAATGGACTTGAAACACCTGCTGATGAAGATCAAGGATTGCAGTCTTCAGTATGGATTACAATTCAATGTAAAGAAACCCAAAATCTTCACAACTGGACCAATAGGTAATGTCATGATAAACAGAGGAAAGATTGAATTTGTCAAGAATTTCATCTTACTTGGACCCACAATCAATACTCATGGAAGCAGTCTTGAAGTGATGAAATGACACATTGCATAGGGTAAGCCTGTTGCAAGAATTCTGAGGACTGAGGTGTGCCTGACCCAAGCCATGGCATATTCAATTGCCTCAAATGCTTGTGAAAGTTGGACACTGAATAAGGAAGACCAAAGAAAAAACAATGCATTTGAACTATGGTGAAGAATACTGATAGTACCATGAACTGCCAAAAGAACAAACAGATCAGTCTTGGAAGAAGTTTGTACAGCCAGATTGCTCATTAGAGGCAAGGATGGCAAGACATTCTCTCGTGTACTTTGGACATGCTATCAGGAGAGACCATTCCCTGGAGAAGGATGCCATACTAGCCAAAGTGGACAGAGGCGCTCAACTAGATGGGCTGATACAGAGGCTGCAACAATGAGCTCAAGCATAACAATTGTGAAGATGGTGGAAGATAGTAGCATTTGGTTTTGTTGTAAATAGGATTGCTCTAAGTAGGCTTGATGGCATCTTAAAATGATTTGTAACCTAATAAACCTCATAATTGTGAGTGTGAGCTCCGTGTGGCCACTGAAATGAATTCTTGAATGCAGCATAGAAGTACTGTTGATCATGAGTCTCTCTCCTCCCCCTTGTGAAGATAAATGAGTGACATTTTACATAAATGAGATAGTTAATGCTTATTGTGCCAACCTAGCCAATAAACACATGTGGGGTTAATTGAAGGGCAGAGAAATAAATGGCTCAGTGAGCCTTGCCTTTCTAGTTCTCAGGTCTCTTGCTTTGTGATGGTCGGACCAGGGTGCAGCTGCTTTAGCCAGTTCCCTGCTTCAGCTGGCAAGGCTCACTTCCTGCAAGACATCCCCGAGGAGAAGCCGCATGGACCTACCCCGGTGCAGCCCTGGGTGCTGGAGCAGCCGTGTGGAGACCCCTGCCAGCGCTGAATGCTTACGTATTCACTGATTCGGCTTTCCTCCTGCAGTCGGCGTCATAGTGTGTGTTTTGTGAGATGGAGGAGGACTTTGTGGATTGGTGTTGGACATATGGGCTAATGTTGGACTTGTGGGCTTGGGCAGCACTGGGTTGGGATGTTTTCTTGATGTGCACTTACTCTTTATATAAAACTCTCTTATACACACGTTTCTGTGGAGCTGTTTCTCTAAAGTAACCAGACTAACACAATAAAGTAACACCTAGATCTTTGGCAAAAAGTTCCTTCTTTGAAGAATCTTGCTCAATTATATAAGCTGTGAAAATAAGTCCCATAATTTTTGTTCAGCAATAGTGTAAAATTGAAAAAAAGGTATTTAAATACAAATAAAAAACAAAGATAAAGTACTAGTGCTATCATGTGAAATGTTCTTTCTATTCACTACCTTAATACATCATTCCTTCTTTTCCTTGTAAGTATTGTTAGAACTCTGTAACTCATAACTGTGGAAAAACATTTTATTTTTCTTCAATTGGCATAATAGGTCCTTAAGTATCTCTTATTTCTATCTTTAATAGCATCTCTTGAACTCTCTATTAAAATGTTTAATTTGCATATAATTCACATATCATACAATTTAACTGTTCAATCATAATAAGTGGGGGCAATCATCACCCCATTCAATTTCCAAACATTTTCTTCTTTCTCATACTTTTTGGGTTAGCTCTCCATTTCTCCCCAATTTCCCAATGCTTTGTTTCTAGGTAATACTAAACCACTTACTGTCTCCCTAGATTTACTCTATAGATTTACCTATTCTGTATTTCACATTCAGAAAATCATACAAAACACAAATAAGAAACAACAACAATGACAAAGCAAAACAGTAAAATTTCAATTGAGAAGCAGAAAATATTAAAAACAGAAACAACTTTAAAATGGGTTAAAATGGAGACTAATTGATAAGCCATTATATTTTAACCTAACTGCAGCTGCAATAATCAACTTTCCAGTCCTCTCTGCCTGATAGAAATTCTATTTACACCCCTGGATTATGATAATAGAGGATTCACCAAAGGCTTATTAATTCATGTGGGGACCTGCTAATGGATTTTGGGCTTCCACTATCATCCATAACTTTCTATAAACTGGGTGCTCAGATTTTAAGCTCCAATATAGTTCCCTCCACTGGATTTGGATTTTATTATTTACAATCCTTGGATCACACAAGCTGTTCTCCTTCCATGGAGACTTAATTGACCCCTCACTTAGATGGATGCTTGTGTTAGGTTTCTGGGATGGTTTCCCAAGTCCTTGCTTCTCGACAGAAGAATTCATGTGGTAGAAGTATTTTTGTAAGTCCAAGTAACTTTTATGAGGGAAAAGGCAGTTTAGGGTAATATAGTCTCAGAGAGTACCTTCTATCCCTGGGAAGCGTACAAAGCCTCACAGGGGTATTGTGCAAGAGTTCAACACCAAAAATGGCTGCCTCAGGGGAGCACAAAAACCATGTAACTGGACACCATCTACATGGATAATGAGGGTTGATACAAAGAACAAAACTTTCTGTAACACTCATTCACAAAGTCTGAGCCTACCAAACTGACACATGTCATGAGAGAACAAGAAGAGCATTGAAATAGTGAGTATATGGATCTCTCAGAGCAAGAGATCCCAACTGAAGTCCAACAACCTCTAAGTCAATAACCTTGGGACAGCAGTCACCTGCTTCTTAGGTGTTGCAGCCTTAAGTTTAAGAAAGTATGCCAATTCCTTCAATCTGCTACAGGTCAGGTTGAGGGAAAGCCTTGTCTGTTTAGTGGGTTTTCCATATTGAATCCTTCTGGTATGGCCTGGGATTGTCTAATAGTTGCAACCATTCTCCTACCAGCTATGCTACTTCCACTTTTTATTGATAATGCTAAAATTAGTCCATAGCTTTTCCATGATATTGAATATTTGGTAAATATAAACTAAATTTTCATAATAACTGATAAACACAAATCTCACATTTTCTTATCAAATAATATACAACCCCACCCCCATCTATAACTTTGTTGTACTGTGGTGGTTTGTTTGTTGCTCTCTATGCCTTTGATATTTCAAATACCAACAGAGCAAACTATTATGGACAGGCTTCCGGGGAGATTCTAGACAGAGAAGAGAAAGAACAGTCGATGTTCTATTTCCAAAAATTGTTCAACAAAAACATAGAGATCACAACCAAAGCATTGTGTAACTTGCTTGTTTGGGCCGTGTCATCACAAGGGGTCAAGAACTGACGGAGAACATCCTGTTTGGTGAAGGAGAGGGGAAGCGAGTTTGTGAGTGACTCCGTGGGATGGATTCTGAGTTACAAGAATGATACAGAATCGGTCCATTTCGTTACACTAAAGATAAGATTGTAGGAATCTACTAAAGTAGGAATCTACTAAAATTTGCAAATAAATTTAAAATTTAGATCACAATTTTTAAAGTTTTACATCAAACCAATAAATTATATGTAGGCACAGTCAACAGACAGGTGAATGTGTATTATGTAAGCAGAACAAATAAGTACATGAAGATATATATTTGTACAACAACAAACCATTTGCAATTGAGTTGATTATGACTCATGGCAAGCACATGCATTTCAGAGAACTGTTCCTTTGGTTAGCAGTTAAGGACATCACTTAATTAGATCTATTAAAATAAGATTCAAAAGATGGTCCAGTGTAAACAATACCTTTTCACACACATAGGATTGAAAAGTAGTTTTTGATGCAATGTAAAAATTTTACATTATCATAAAAAGAATAAACCCATTTTCTCATCTGTTATATAAATGTACATTAACAGGCAATTGTGATGATAAAATAAGCATGTTTAAGGATATGCTCACCAGGACTTCCAGAATCAGGGTGACTAGGGTTCCCGTATCTTGCAGATGTCTGATCAGCAAAAAGGGTGGATGTCTGCCAGCCTATCTTGGTTGGCCACCGAAAGGACCTCTGTATCCTATTAAAACGCAGATGATATTTTACCTAGAAATAGCAATGGGAAATAAACTATTTTTAAAGCTAACCTGAGGAGCAAATATTAGAAATAAAGAAGAGTTAATGTCCACTTGAGAAATAGTGTGATTTAAGGATCTGAAGGAGACTCACCTAGTGCCAAAGTGATTCTGAATGCCAAAAATTGACAATGACTGAGGCACAAATACTCCCAATTACACTTGATGTCTACCCAAAATCCAGACAATTCACAAAACCAGATATCCATAATTATATGAAGAAACTCTTTTTTAAAACAACAACCAGTTTTGTTTTTTTAAACATTTTATTAGGGGCTCATACAACTGTTATCCCAATCCATACACACATCAATTGTGTAAAGCGCATTTGTACATCATTCTCAAAACATTTTCTCTCCACTTAAACCCCCCACATTAGGTCCTCATTTTTCCCCTCCCTCCCCGCTCCCCCCTCCCACATGAGCCCTTGATAGTTTATAAATGGGCATTTTGTCATATCTTGCCCTGTCCGACGTCTCCCTTCATCCACTTTTCGGTTGTCTGTCCCCCAGGGAGGAGGTCACACACAGTTCCATGTAATCGGTTCCCTCTTTCCTACCCATTCTCCCTTTACCCACCCTGTTTTGCCACTCACACCACTGGTCCTATAGGGCTCATCCATCCTGGATTCCCTGTATTTTCAGTTCCTATCTGTACCAGTGTACCTCCTCTGGTCTAGCCAGTCTTGCAAGATAGAATTCGAGTCATGGTAGTGGGAGCGGGGAGGAAACCTTTAGGAACTAGAGGAAGGTTGTATTTCTCATCTTTGTTACATCGCATCGCACCCTGACTGGCTCATCTCCTCCCCGAGACCCCTCTGCAAGGGGATCTCCAGTGGCCTACTAATGGGCTTTGGATCTCCACTCCACACTCCCCCCATCATTCACTATGGTAAGATTTTTTGTTCTGATGATGCCTTACACCTGATCCCTTCGACACCTCGTGGTTGCATAGGCTGGTGTGCTTTTTCCATGTGGGCTTTGTTGCTTCTGAGCTTGATGGCCGCTTGATTACCTTCAAGCCTTTAAGACCCCAGACGCTATACTTTTTGATAGCCGGGCACCATCAGCTTTCTTCGCCACATTTGCTTATGCACCCATTTGTCTTCAGTGATCCGTTCGACACCCCGTGATCACACAGGTCAACAACCAGTTTTATTGACACTTTATTTACATACCATACAATTCAATAGTTAAATCATATCGGGAAGAATATAACCATTACCACAACCAATTTTAGAACATTTTCTTCTTCCTTGTACTAATTGTTATTAGTATAATTGTTATTATTTTTAATTGTGGCAAAAAATACACACACAACAGAACAGTCTTTGATTCAGCAGCTTCTACATGTAAAATTCAGTGCCACTGATTGTACTCTTCAAGTTGTACAATCATTTTTGATATCCTTTCCAAACTATTCCACCACCATTAACATAAACTTAATGCCCCCTAAACAAAAAATTTTCCTCTTTTATCCATGGTAACCATTGATCAACTTTGTTTTTCTGTTTTTTAGTAATTTCCTTAATATAATATTCACATATCATTAACACTTCCCTAGTCACTTTTATTTACTATTTATTTATTTAAAAGATCATTTTTGGGGGGACTCTTACAGTTCTTACAAAATCCATTTATCAATTGTATCAAGCATATTTGTACCTATGTTGCCATCATTATTTTCTAAACATTTACTTTCTATTTGAACCCTTGATATCAGATCCTCTTCTTTCCCTCCTTCCCTTGCAACCTTTTGATAAATTATAAATTATTATTGTTTCATATCTTACACCGCCCACTGTCTCTCTTCACCCATGTTTCTGTTGTTTGTCTCCCTCAGAGGGGCGAGGGGGAAGAAGCAACTCTTATATAAAATAGATGCAAATTAAAACTACAAAAACACTTCTAGCATTTATGAACTATACACCTGTACAACAAAATCTGTGTATCTATCAATTTATCCCTCAATACATTTACATTAAAAAATGTATTTCAAAGTAAGTTGCAGACATCAGTACATTTATGCCCAAAACTTCAGTGCTAATTCAAAATGTGTTTTAAGTTGTTTTCAGGTAAATTTTACCTACAAGAAAACCCACAAATCTTAGAGTATGCACCAGCTGAGTTTTGATAACTGTAATGGTACTTTATATAACCTAGGCTCCTATCAAGATACAGAGCATTACCTTAACCCTGCAAAGAACTATCATGCTCTTTTTCAGTTAATCTATATCACATTTCCTTAGAGACATCATTTTTACCATTTTATTTCAGCAAAGGTTAATGTTGCCTGTTCCAAAGCTCAAATAAATGCAATAACACAGTATTGTACTCTTTTGTGTAAGTCTTCGTACTCAGCACAATAGCTTTGAGATTCATTTATGCAAATTCTTTTTCCAATAGAACATACCTTTTTATTGTTGAGTAATATTCATAGTATATCAGAACTCATTCGTTATCTGGCAGATGGATAAATGGTTCTTCTAGATAATAGCTTTCTCAGTAAAGCTGCTATGGATATGGACAACCATTGTGGGAAGCAATAAAGTGCTACCCCAAACAACTGGGGGTAGAAATTCCATATGAGGTAGCCATACTTCAGCCTAGAGAAGTAAGAGCCATAACATGAACAGGCGTATGCCCTCCCGTGTCACATTGCAGCACTGTTCACAAGAGTGAAAGTTAGGAACATGCCAAATACGCATCTGTAGAAGACTGGATGCAGAAACTTCGGTACAGACACACAATGGAAGACTAGGCTTTGCTTTAAAAAAAACAAGGATGGGCCCACAAAGCACCTCATGACAGGGATGGACCTGGAGAACATCATGCTGAGTGCAGTTAGTCAACCACAAAAGGACAGCTATCTTATATGACGCCACTACTGTAAGGGTAAAAACCCAAAGACTTTCATTCCAAAGGGAGGGAAGGCAAGGGTGAGAAAGGAAGAAGCGGACTAGAAGCTTGATGGGTACTGACTTGGTTGAAAGGGAGGATAGCGATTCATAAGAAAGAGAAGAGAAATCAAGGGTGAGGAGGTGGACGGGTGGGATAGAATACATCTACAAACAACAACTAATGTATGTTACTAATCTGTGTTACATTACTAAATATATTAATGTGCTGTTTCATACATTACATGTAAAATATATTTTATTTAAAACCCAAACCTACTGCTACCAAGTTGATTCTAACTCATAGCATCCTACTATGGGGTTTTTGAGACTATAAACTTTGCAGAAAGCCGACAGCTCATCTTTCTCTTACAGAGTGGCTGGTGGCTTTGAACCAGCAGTCTTGTAGTCAGCATCCTAAAATACACATTAGACTTTATATCCACTGCCACCAAGTCAATTTTGATGCAGAGCCATCCCATTGGACAACAGACAATGGCCTGTGGTTTGAGGCTGTGAATCTCTACAGGAACAGAGGGCCTCATCTTTTCTCAAGGAGCAGCTGCTGTGTTTGAACCATCTGCTTAGTGGTTAGCATTCAGCTTGTAGCTCACTATAACACATGATAAAATATACATATCAGTAAAAACCTATATATCTATAATCTGTTGTTCACATCATTTATCATCATTATATTACACAGTTAAGTATATTACTACTATTAAAAGCTAACACTAAATCTACTAGAAGAAAGAAATTTACAAAGATTAGGGGAGAAATAAATGAAAACAACATAACCAGAGGTTGGTTCTTTGAAAGGATCAGTAGACTCAACAAATTCTTAGCTAGACTAATAAAGAAAAAAAAAGTGTAATTAACCAAAATAAAAAATGAAAGTGGAGAGATTACAAGTGACTTAAAGAAATAAAAGTAGTGATGACAATCCTAAGAACTGCATGAAGATGAGTTTGAGAACCTAGACGGAATGTACAGGTTTTTAAGCATACATCTACCTAAGCTGATTCAAAAGGAAATATTAAATCTTAACAGCTCTGTAACACACAAAGATATTGAATGGTAATCAAAAACACCTCCAACCAATAAACAAACATCCTGGAACAAACGGATTCATGGGGGGAAATCTACCCAACTATTTAAAGAAGAACTCACACCAATCTTGTTTAAGCTCTTGCAAGAAGTTGGGAAGGAATAATTCTTAAATAATTTGGAGAATCTAACATTATCTTGGTATCAAAAACAGACAAAAGATGCCATAAGAAAATCATAGGCCAATATTCCTTTTAACTACACATGCAGATAGAAAAATCTTCAACAAAATATCAGTGAAAGAATCTAACACTATTATAAAAGAGTCATACACCAAGTAGGAGTTATTCCAGGAATGTAAGGTTGTTTCAACATTAGAAACTCAACCAATGCAACACACATTTATAGAATGAATAAATAAATAAAACCACATGATAAAATAAAAAGAACCACAGGATCATTTCTATTCATGCAGAAAAGGTATTTGATACTCCATAATCTATTACCCTTTTCTTGATACAGACCCTTAATAGGAAGGAATAATAGAGAGGAAGAGCCTCACTATGATTAGGGGACATATGTGAAAGAACACCCCCAGCCAATATGAGTATTGTACTTGATAAATATTGAGACCTTTCCTCTTAAAATTAGGAATTCATCACTCAAATTTAATATTATACTGGAGATCCTAGCCAGAGCAATAAGACAAGAAAAAGAAATAAAATGTACCCCAGGTTGAAAAAGAAGTAAAATGATCTGTAACCACTGACATGACCTCATAAACAGAACTCCACTCCTCATGCCCCCACTACACAAATCTGCAAGATAAGCTTCCAGAGCTAGTAGAAGAATTTAGCAACGTTGCAGGGTAAAAGGTAAAAAACCAAAACTCTCTAATTAGTAATACAAAAATGTATACAATGAAAAGTATAAACACTGCTGAAAGAAATTAAAGAAGACATAAGTAAATTAAAAGACAATCTGTGTTCATAAATTGGAAGATTTAGTATTGTTAAAATGTAACTATA